ATGGTGAAAGAATTTTTGAAATCGATCAAGTAGTTTTTGAGTTATTACAATACGTATAAAAATACAAGTACTTTCTCTTTATAACATAAGTATAGATTATAAAAAGCCTGAAAATTTAATTTTCATCAATTATACTATACTTGTACATTTTACACAATTCAAATATTTATTTAGAACACTTCGTTAAAGTTATATTATTGCGCAGAGAATAATTCTTTGTTAGTGCTTGTTTGCTGATGGTAAATACGAAGTTCGAACAAATTACATCTCTATACAAGTAATCAAACTATTGATTCAAGTGATAGTAAGCAAATGTTTAAAATCCACGACTGCATCATAACCTACCAGCAACAAACGAGCGTATGTCAGATTTGTTAACGTTGTAAAATGATCATTATGTCGTATGACATAAGTGTTAATTTACCAATTAAATAATATTTATAATTACTGTTATTGTCTAGGTAAACATCATAGAAAACATTTTATCTATCAAATGTCAGAAACATTGTCAGGCCATTGGGTACTCGAGCGCAAAATCTGATATCTGCATATTTTCTTTCACCGTAAGAACGTCGGAATGAAGTTCGACACGAATATAAGCCACTGGAGTTCTTGACGAAATCCGCATGCAATTAAAAAATAAAGCATTAATATATTTATACTAGCTGTTCCCATGCGACTTCATCAGCATAAAATTATAAAAAAATAATTTTATGGTTTACATTTGTTAAGTTATCAATTGCAAATGTCAAAATGACATGACATGATGTCAAACCATGGCAACCTTGCTTCCTTGATGTTGGCAACAACTTATGGTCTCTTTCCCACATTAGGGTTTTTATATTTACCCCTAAGTTTAACGGCGTGAAAATATATAGCCTAAAGCGTGACGTAAGTGTAGGGTTTTATTTTTATTAAAAAAAAAGATATTCGAAAATATGCTGTGATTGCTGACATCTTAGGCAACAAAGTATGTGTTTAGCGAGCGTTCGCACGGACGCGAAAACGCTAGGCGGTAACTATGTGTCAAAATAGAACGTATGGGATTGTATGAAGCTGTTCATACG